CCGGGGACAGCCGGTGCCCCGCCCCTCCCTTTCTTCCTGGACCGCGCCTCGGGCGCCTCCCCCACCCGACCCTGCGTTCACCGGACCTGATCCCCGAGCCCGGAGCCCCGAGCTCCGAGTCCCGGTGTGGACGTCTCCCACGTGCCAACCACCCTCTGTGCCTCCTACCCGGTCTCCATCGGCTTAGGGAACTTGGAAGTTCCCTGGTCCTGCCCCCCAGCCTCAGAGGGGAAACTGAGGGAGGCCCTGGCGGGCGGGCCTCCCCTCACCAGCGTTTCCACGCAGGCGCCATGGCCGAGCCCCTGAAGGAGGAAGACGGCGAGGACGGCTCTGGGGAGCCCCCCGGGCCAGTGAAGGCGGAGCCCGCCGGCACCGCTGCCTCCGTAGCGGCCAAGAACCTGGCCCTGCTGAAAGCGCGCTCCTTGGACGTGACTTTTGACGTGGGGGACGAGTACGAGATCATCGAGACCATCGGCAACGGCGCCTACGGGGTGGTGTCCTCCGCACGCCGCCGCCTGACCGGTGAGCCGCCCCAGGTGTCCTGTGCCAGGTGTGGACACTGCCTCTGGAGGGCGAGAAGCTGCCCGTCCCAGACAGCCAGGAGGGAAGGCTGGGGCGCAGATTCTGGTTGAAGTCACACATGGGGTGGGTGCCCTCTGGGCGCCAGGGTCTGTGTTGGGCACGGGTCTTAGAGACCCGCCATTATGGTTTTGCCAGCACATCCGCCGACTTCCTGCTTAGAAAAATGAGTCCCGATTGGACCCGGTTGGAGATCCTGTGCTGGGCGGAGGTAGGGAGGTAGAATGAGCAGGCATTACGGAGTCTAGACTACCACTCACTAGCTATGCCACCCCCAGTAAATTACTGAGATGAGATTTCCTCATCTAACGTTGAGCCGATAGTAACTGTCTCAGCTGGTGGATGAGAAGGGAGAACTTTACAGAAAGTGCTTAGCACAGGGCTTGGCACTAGTAGGTGCTCAGTATACAGCAGCTGCTGTTACTCTGTTATTTGCATCCTGGATGGGAGGTGTTGAAGGCGGCCTTGTGCCACTGCAGCTGCCCCAGGGACCTTACAGTATCTGCCTTTCCTCTGCTCCCAGGCCAGCAGGTGGCCATTAAGAAGATCCCTAATGCGTTTGATGTGGTGACTAATGCCAAGCGGACCCTCAGGGAGCTGAAGATCCTCAAGCACTTCAAGCATGACAACATCATCGCCATCAAGGACATCCTGAGGCCCACCGTGCCCTACGGCGAGTTCACATCTGTGTAAGGAGGGGTGGGTGTTGGGAGAGGAGGCTGGACTGGGATGTTTTCTGAAGGCTGGGAGCGCATTGCCACCGTTCTGGAAGGACAGCTGAACCTCTGTAAGGCAGGCCGGAAAATTCCCACGGTTCCAGGACCCGTGTTCCCTTAGGGCAGCGGTTCTCAACCTGTGGGTCGCGACCCCTTTCGGGGTCGAAAGACCCTTTCACAGGGGTCGCCTAAGACCATCGGAAAACACGTATATAATTACTTATTGTTTTGTGATTAATCACTATGCTTTAATTATGTTCAATTTGTAACAATGAAAAGACATCCTGCATATTAGATATTTACGATTCATAACAGTAGCAAAATTACAGTTATGAAGTAGCAACGAAAATAATTTCATGGTTGTGGGGTCACCACAACATGAGGAACTGTATTAAAGGGTCGCGGCATTAGGAAGGTTGAGAACCACTGCCTTAGGGCATTCCCAGGGACAGCTGTGATTCCTCAGGAAGAGTACAGGTGCTACAATTATAGACTCTCAGAATATGGGATGGGAATGTAGGACACTCGACTATAATCACACCCTCCTTTTCCCACAGCAGACATCACTAGTCAATCACAGAACACGTTCCTACAGAAAATGGACAAGATACCACAGTTTTCATCATAGTTTTTCCAGCAGCCACTTCCAAATAATAGAGATGGCTGCCAAACGAAAACTCTTGGCCAGCCCTGGTTTAGTGCACCCTCACCTTCTCATGGGGAAATAGGTCTGGAGAGAAAGGGATCTAACTTCACTTAAGTTCATGGAAGAGCTGTAGAGACTCTAGGATCTTTATACCAGGCTGTTGGCCCTACAGAGTCTGAGGGTAAGGCCATTCCATGTCTGCAGTCCGGAGGGCATGTGAGGCTGGGCTGGAGTGTGGGCAAGACAGCCATGCCTCTTCCCTGTCCCTTCTAGTTATGTGGTCCTGGACCTGATGGAGAGCGACCTGCACCAGATCATCCACTCTTCGCAGCCGCTCACACTGGAGCACGTGCGCTACTTCCTGTACCAGCTGCTACGGGGCCTCAAGTACATGCACTCAGCTCAGGTCATCCACCGGGACCTCAAGCCCTCCAACTTGTTGGTGAATGAGAACTGTGAGCTCAAGATCGGTGACTTCGGCATGGCACGGGGCCTGTGCACCTCACCTGCTGAGCATCAGTACTTCATGACCGAATATGTGGCCACACGCTGGTACCGTGCCCCGGAGCTCATGCTGTCGCTGCATGAGTACACGCAGGCTATTGACCTGTGGTCCGTGGGCTGCATCTTCGGTGAGATGCTGGCCAGGCGCCAGCTCTTCCCAGGCAAAAACTATGTGCACCAGCTGCAGCTGATCATGATGGTGTTGGGTACCCCATCACCAGCTGTGATTCAGGCTGTCGGGGCTGAAAGGGTACGGGCATATATCCAGAGTCTGCCACCACGCCAGCCTGTGCCCTGGGAGACAGTGTACCCAGGTGCTGACCGCCAGGCCCTCTCACTGCTGGGGCGAATGCTGCGTTTTGAGCCCAGTGCCCGCATGTCAGCAGCTGCTGCCCTTCGCCACCCCTTCCTGGCCAAGTACCATGACCCTGATGATGAGCCTGACTGTGCCCCACCCTTTGACTTTGCCTTTGACCGGGAAGCCCTCACCCGGGAGCGGATTAAGGAGGCCATTGTGGCCGAGATTGAGGACTTTCATGCCAGGCGCGAGGGCATCCGCCAGCAGATACGCTTCCAGCCTTCTCTGCAGCCTGTGACCAGTGAGCCCAGCTGCCCCGACATTGAGATGCCCAGTTCCTGGGCTCCCAGTGGGGACTGTGCCATGGAGTCACCTCCACCAGCTCCACTGCCGTGCCCTGGCCCTGCACCTGACACCATTGATATGACCCTGCAGCCACCCCCCGCGCTGGCCAGTGAACCAGCCCCTCCAAAGAGAGAGGGTGCCATCTCCGACAACACCAAGGCAGCCCTCAAAGCTGCCCTGCTCAAGTCCTTGCGGAGCCGGCTCAGAGGTGCCTTCCAGAAGCAGCTGCTGACTGGGGAATGGGGTGGCAGGAGAGGGACTCTGGGCTTGTACAGGGCCACAGGCTCTAACCTTCCCCCTGTTCAACTTCCCTGTAGATGGGCCCAGTGCCCCCCTAGAAGCACCGGAGCCTCGGAAGCCAGTGACAGCCCAGGAGCGCCAGCGTGAGCGGGAAGAAAAGCGGCGGCGGAGGCAGGAGCGAGCAAAGGAGCGGGAAAAGCGGCGGCAGGAGCGGGAGCGCAAGGAGCGAGGGACTGGGGCCTCTGGGGGCCCCTCCACTGATTCACAGTCACAACACCTCCGGCCCGGCCCACCAGTCCTGCTGGCTCTGTAGCCCAGCCCACGGGACACCCACCACCTGCAGGCGCCACCCCTGGTCCTGCACCACAGCCGGCCTGCCCAGCCGCTCGCCCTGCTCCCCACCCTGCTGGCCCTCCTAGGCCTGGCCCTGCTCCACTCCAGACCACCACCACCTCCAACCTCCTGGCCCCCCAACACCTCCGGCCCGGCCCACCAGTCCTGCTGGCTCTGTAGCCCAGCCCACGGGACACCCACCACCTGCAGGCGCCACCCCTGGTCCTGCACCACAGCCGGCCTGCCCAGCCGCTCGCCCTGCTCCCCACCCTGCTGGCCCTCCTAGGCCTGGCCCTGCTCCACTCCAGACCACCACCACCTCCAACCTCCTGGCCCCCCAGTCGCTTGTGCCACCCCCTGGGATGCCTGGTTCCAGCACCCTGGGTGTTCTGCCTTACTTCCCACCTGGCCCAGCCCCTCCAGACCCCAGGGGGACCCCTCAACCCTCCACCTCAGAGTCACCCGATGTCAACCTGGTGACCCAGCAGCTGTCCAAGTCTCAGGTGAGAGAGAAGCCTGGCAGTGCGGACCCCTGGACCTGGGCCCAGGGAAGTGGGTGTGGGAAGTCCTTGCTGTTGGAGATGTGTCTTGTTCCATGAAAAGTGAGCAGCAGAGGCTTTCTCTCCGAACGTATGCCCATGCTCGTAGGAGGAGCATAATGCTGATGAGCAGGTGGCTGAGCGGTAAAGGCGATGCTCCCCAGGAAGGGCCCGGCCTGGAGAGGGGCCCAGCCAGCTCGCAGGGATTGTCGAGGCTGGCGCTGGCACCCATGGCGGGCATCCAGACGGAGTCTAGAGCAGTATCAGGACAGGGGCTCCCTGCAGACCGCAGTCCGCTCTTGGTGGTGCCTGCGTCGTAACCTGCCAATGTCCCCTGCAGGTGGAGGACCCTCTGCCCCCCGCGTTCTCGGGCACACCAAAGGGCAGTGGGGCCGGTTATGGCGTTGGCTTTGACCTGGAAGAATTCCTCAACCAGTCTTTCGATATGGGCGTGGCGGATGGGCCACAGGATGGGTGAGTTGGCTGGACCGAACTTCTGGAGCGCAGTTGGGTTCCTGGTGCAGGAGGAACGTGCCTTGGGGGGCAGGCTGGGGAGCCAGCCCGGGTAACAACTCTCCCTGCTCCCCTTTCCCTGCAGCCAGACAGACTCGGCCTCTCTCTCAGCATCCCTGCTGGCTGACTGGCTCGAGGGCCACGGCATGAACCCTTCTGACATCGAGTCTCTGCAGCGTGAGATCCAGATGGATTCCCCGATGCTGCTGGCTGACCTGCCTGACCTCCAGGAGCCCTGAGGCCCACAGCGTGTGCCTGGGTGCCAGGGAGACCCAGGCCCCCGGCCTGGCAGCGGAAGCTTGACTTGGGATTATCCTGAGGTTCCTCTGAGACCCACCCCACAGCCTTAAGCAGCCACCTGAGCCACCACCGAGCCACGACAGGGTCAGGAAACCCCTACTCCCCGGGCGAGCCTTCTCAGTATTCTATTTTTATTATGTAATTTTATTAGTCATTCTCTTTGCCATAAAAATGAGGCCTGTGAAATAGAAGTTTCCCTCTGGTGCTAACTAACTCCGCGTGTCTTTGGAGTGGAGGGCGGGTGCTGTTAGGAAGGGGAAGGAGGAGCCAGGCCCCACGGTGGGAGCCAACAGATGCAGTTGCACATAAAACCACCACGGCCCACTCGCCCGTCCTGAGGCTGAGACCTCCCCCGCCTGCTTCCAGCCTCCCACGGCGGCCTGTGCTCCGGAGCCCGACCTCATCTGCCTGCCCGGGTTGTGGCTGTTTGGGGTGCGTGCAGGAGCTGCGAAATATACCTTGGGGGCCTGGGACAGGAAGCAGAGAAGCTGAGGTGATAGATGGGGCGAGGGGCCCACGGTGCTCACCACTAGAGAAGGGGTTGGTGGGAGGAAGCGAAGGGTGAGACGCTCTGAGAACAGCCAGGGGGGTTGCTAGGGTGTGTTGGCGGCCACGCAGGGGCCTGGCGTGCTCTGGGTGCGGATCACACCCGGCGCGCCCGGCAGCTGAGCCGGGAAGGAGGCTGACTCCGGAACACCAGCCTGCCGCCTGGGCGAGCAGCTCCTGGCCCGGTGTTGGGCGGAGGCAGAGGAGGCCTGGGAACCGGTTGGCAGCTTCGCCTCAGGAGGGGGCGAGGCCTGGCTCCGGTGGACGCCTGGTGTGAAGGTGAGCTGGGTCTAGAGCCATAAGCCCCGTGAGAAGCAGAGCTGACTGGGGGAGGGGTGCAGGGGGCGCACGCCCAGCACAGCACGGGGAGCGCTCCTGGAGGCCAGCAGCCAGGAGCCGGGGCTTGGGGCCTGGCCTCAGGCCCGGCGTATTTTCATCTCCGTGCGCTTGAGGGAGTAGTAGAAGCCCTTCCACTGGGCCCAGTTGATGCCGTTGGCGTAGGAGAGATGGGGGCCACCCAGGTAGAAGCCATTGAGGTTGGCGAAGTGGCAGCTTCGGAACCAGAAGGCTCCCGAGGAGAGGGCAGCGCAGTTCTGCAGGAAGAGGTCCTGATCACGGTCGAAGGTGGAGAACTTCTGGCCGCTGTGGTAAGACAGGGAGTCGCCTGGCGGGAAGAGGGGCGACTGTGGAGGCTGAGCCGACGGGAGGGGAGGCGCCCTTCCCCAGCCAGAGCCTGGGTGCTGAGCTGCACGAAGAGAAGCAGCTGCTCCCGGGCAGCGGGCGTGGCTGCTCCAGGGAGCCAGGAAGGGAGAGGGGCCACCAGGGTCAGGGACACCCGCCGTCCCCCACCTCCTCCGCCTGCCCGGAGGGTACCTGCCCCGCCGTCCTCGAAGCCTGCCACGTAGAGGGAGTAGCCGTCCTCCTCGGCGCTGATGGCGTTGGGCGCAATGGAGAAGTCGGCGTACTTGGCATAGGCCGTGTTGTTCTCAAAGTCTTCCAGGTCCACTCGCAGCTCGTACTTCTGCTTCAGCGTGAGGAGGTGCAGGTTCTGCAGCCCTGTGGAGGGGCAGCAGGTCAGCCAGGCCCTGGCCCGGGGGTGGGGGGGGACGCCTGCCCGGGCCCCGCCTTACCCAGCCAGTACTCCCCATCTGCACGGCCGAAGCCCAGCTTGTAGTCGTTCCAGCCCCGGAAGAAACTCACTGAGCCATTGAATCGCTTCTGGAAAACCTGGAGCAGAGATGACAGGCCTGGGTTTTCAAGGTCCAGTGGACAGGGCCTACCCCGGACTGGACCCTGAGGTACTAAGGTGGTTTGTTAAAGGACTGAGCAGGGAGCTGAAACCAGGCGCACACTGGCACCCCTCGAGCAGCTGCTGAGTGCTGGGAAGAGGTTAGGACGGTGGCAAACGCCGGGGTAGGAGTCCGTGTTGGCTGTGTGATGTTGAGTAAGTTACTTCACCTCTCTGGCTTCAGTTCCTTTATAAAAGGAACCCTCCTCCCAGGGTTATCATGGGGATTACGTGCCCCTAGAATTCACTGTTGACAGCAGCTTACAAACTATGCTGTGGGGACAGAGATGAAGAAATTGAAATCCCAGAGGTGCAGCCTGGTCACGTGCTGGGACCAGAACTGGGCCTCTGTTTTCCTCCTCCTACTCACCGTCCACTTCCCGCCCTCAGTGGTCATGTCGCAGAAGACGGGCACCGGCACGCTGGGCCCCTCGGGGTAGATGAGGTACACGCCGTCGGCCTGGTAGCCCTGGCTGTAGATGTCGTCGCAGTCCAGGGGCTGCTGAAGGCAGGACTTCTCCAGAGCTGGGGGCCGGGGAGGGGGAGGAAGGGGCTAAGGCAGAGCTCACACCGTGCGCCCCACAAATTGCCTCTGTCCCCAGGGGCAGGGTACTCTCACAAGAAATTGCAAGAGTTCTTAGACAGGGGGTGCTCAAAGGTCATCTCGTCCACCTGCCCGTTTAGAGCAGGAGCTGAGTCCTGAGAGCTGGCGGGCTCCAGACACTGGCTCAGAGCCTCTCCCGCCCGCCTGCCTGTGGGCCCGGCTGCTTACCATCTCCTCGGATCAAGGGGGCCTGGGGGGCACAGTGGGGAGTGGGGAGCAGCAGCAGTAGCAGCGGCTCAAACACACACACCCCGCCCGCCAGAAACCCGCTCTGAGCCAGGCTCCGTGCCCTCGGAGGTGAGCAAGCTGCCGCCAGAGCCCCAGTGCCGTCCCAGTCCCCTCTCTGGCTGGGGTCCTCTCCAAAAAAGGGCTCAGTCCCCCACCCAGGGCCCTTACCTTCATGCTGCCAGGTC